AAAAACATCATTACTTATCAGTGATGTATTTTTGGAGGAGTTAAGGCAACAAGAATCAGCATAATATGCATATATTTACAGGACTAGTTTCAAAGGTTTAAAGACAGAAATTTCTACATCAGCTGCAGAACAGCAAATTACGAAAGAAAAGCCTGTGCTCAAGTATTAACAATGAGAGCAAGGAAATCACACTACTGGTGCCATCTGTTGATGAAAAGGGAAACAACTATGAGATAACTGCCCTAAAAGCTGAGAGTAAAAAGGATTAGATTTGGGATAGTTAATTAGAAATGAAAGATTTTTATGAATGTGAAACGCCTTTAGAAAATCTAATTTAAATGAAGGATTACGAAATGATAACGGAAAAGAAGATAGATATCTTAGCACAAAGTAGGATCCCTGATCGTAGGATATTCTTTAAAGAGATCCATCAGGGCCAGATTAAAGACATTTAGCGGTTTAGGGCATTTAAAAGATTTCACCGTCGCCATATATATTCATACCTCCGCCCCCCCCCAAATTCTTTTCTCGATCTTGCACCGTACAATTCATGGTAAGCACAGAAAAAAAATACATATGCTGAGTCCCTTAAGCAGTGTTTTGTGGCGCTGCCTTTCCTTGATACCCTAAACACGTGATTCTTTTGCTTAGTAGTTAGTCCAGGCTCGTTATTTTACAATTTTATTATTTTCATTTTTATTTTATTATCTATGTATTATTTAGTTTCTACGTTAAACCTGTAAAAAAATTGTATACTTCATAGAAAAATATCTGTAAAATGTATCATTCTTTGTAACACAGTAACATTCTTGGTAAAAGTGTAAAAAATTCTGTGTAATGTTTATATATCACCCCATATCAAAATTTTGTATCCAAAGAATTTTTTTAATAAAAGCCGCAAAGTTAAAGTCTTTCAGAAGAAACAGCTGCTCATTTTGTGGTTTCATGTTTTTGTTTCTTCTTTCCTAACATATTACCTCACCGATCATGGCGCACATAAGGATTAATCTATTGAAACGAATTTCTGTAACAGCTACAATTACATCTGCAGAGTCAAAGGAAGTGCAGGCCACTACTTAATCTTCTACCCTCTTTCCCCCGGAAACCCTCCAATTTAGATCTCAACTTCAAACGAATGGTGATATCTCATAGCCACCTATATCTAAGAATCATAAAAATACACCAAAAGCTCAACGCGCTAGGTCTGGACCTATGCCAAGTCACATTTTAGTATCGAAAACGAAGAAGTGGAAAAAAAAATGTCTAGGCTACATCCTAATAGCTGATTCCGAGTAACATCAGTAATTTCCGTAATTCTTCAGAACACCAAACGTACTGAGCTGAGCCCATGGACTATGGACTGAAAGATATGAGCTCAAGATAGTCTTACCTCTCACAAATATCCTCACGTGATAATAGCTAGACATTTCAACATAGTAAAATTAAACCCCATATGTTTATCTGCTTAGATAAAAATGCAAACATTCCAGTGCAGTGATCTCCAAAGTATGAAATTTGTTGTATATACGCAATCCAATATTTTAATGAGTATATTCAATAGATTGTGTTATGTAACTTTCCTAATTTTATGTTAACATCCTCTTATGATTTAATGGAAAAACTCCAATGTATAACTCCAGTGTTTCTTAAGAAAAATTCGTACATTCAATTCATATTCTTCCATCATAACTTTTATCTCCCGATCCCTTTCTAGAATCCAAAAGCCCGCAGTTTAATGTCATCTAACTAAGCAAGGACCCTATAACACCACGAAATCTCATGTGATTTTATGAGAGTGTCAAGCTCTACCTGATTAGTGCATTGCGGCAATACCTACTGTGATTAGTGCATTAAGGCAATTCTGTTTGCAGAGACTTTTCTGGCATTCCATGCACTTTTACCCTTTTCCCTATTGGTGTATCGTGGCGCCTTCCTTAGTGACAGATGATAATTGCGGTGGCATAGCGTATCTTTAAGGATGATATGTGACTTTGGTAGTCGAACCTAAGTCTTGATTGATTGAATATTCGTGTCCTATCTCTTTCAGATCAATAACTCAAAAAAATACTCATTAGCCGAAGCTTTTTTTCCAGCAACATAAAGCAATAAATGAGAATAAGCGCATTTCTTAGACACTTTTAACACTTCGACTGCCACGTGAGTTTGTAAGAAAATCTCCTTTAGGCCACGAGCGCGGCTATACTCTGCGTCAGTTGTTTTCGGTTGTAGGAGTTTAGAAAGCCTAGAACGAAACATTTTGGAACATGCATTCAGTTTAAAATCTTTCCTCAAGAAAGAAGTATTTAAGAAAGTGTGTGGGATTCGAAAATTATTTCCACTTTTCCGAGTATTTTTTCTGTAGTGACACATATTTGAAATTGCTTGGTGTTAAAATTGTTGCCCCAACTTTTTGCGGTGTCTAAAAGAAAAATGAAAAAGCAATTTTTAAATTATATATATAACTAATAATTTATATATATAACTTAAAAAGCAATGACGCTATGAAGAAGAAACCTATTGCGAGGCTTACAAAAATTCGAATAGCAACGATGAGGAACAGTCGAGATTTTTCAGAAAGATATAATTATAAACAAAATTACATTATCGGATTCTGATTCAAACACTAATAAATGGAGTGATAATAAATTCGGTGTAAATGCTTTATGACCATTCTTTACAAGAACTGCTTGTTTAGGAAGAAAGAAAAGTTGATAGCGAAGAAAGACCAATTCAATTTTATGTACGGACTGAATTTAGCTGTCGGCAACAATCATTTGCGTTTCTTTTTTTCAACAATCAACAATCATTTTTTTAAATACTTACTTTACGTCATGAATACTCAAAGAACTGTCACCCGAAAACGGATGACGCGGCCTGATCAGAATTTTTGCCGTCACACGAATACCGGTAACGTGTCAATCAAAAAAAGTGTTAAACTAGTTTTTATTTATTGCTTCCTTTTTAAAAATCAAGTGTTTACGTCATACCACAGTCAGACATTTTCACTGGGCCTTTTTTTGTGACAAATCACCAGCAATATTTTATTTTTTAATTCCGTCTCCAAATTTAGTAATTTTAGCTTACTTTTCTTTACTTCGTAGACAAGAAAGGCTAATGAAATTTAAAATAAATGAATATATGCATACATACAGTGTCAAAATAAAAGCGGTGGATTTTAACGGCGTAAGTTAAGTAAATTACGTTTTGTAAAATAAATGTATTGTAATGTGTCTTAGTTTAAATAAATGCCGTTGGTTTGATGACGCTAGCTTGCTTTAGCGGATAGTAGGACTCAGTTAGCATAAAAGCTAACAGTCATAAGGCAGCACATTCGGTGATTACTTGTCGTTAGTAACGGTGATCACAGAACCGATGATCCCAGGTTCGAATCCCAGAGAAGGCATGAATTTTTAAGCATACAGTATCTGTGCTGAAAGAGACACTCAAAATACACAGTGAGTCGAAAGTCCTCTCGAGAGTTTGTTGGAAAGAGGAGAGGGTGTTGACCCTGGGACATTCTCCTTAAAAATTGGGCGGTATTGCACAGTTAGTGTGGCGAGACTATACCTACGTGACCAATGGTGTCCTGCCCATCTCTACCTGTGCCTCTCACCTATAAGGTGTCCAAGGCCTATGTTTTCAATAGACTCAGCCAAGCGCTCATGCTCATTTGTAAGCTCACTGAACATTGGTTGCTTGGTGCGGGATTCGAATTTCGGAGAAAGGGATAGATGGGTATTTTCATGGTTTTCTCCATGTGTAAATGTGTAACCTGTATATGAGCCTGTTTCCCTTATAAATTGCTTCACAAAGGCATCCGTCAGGCAGATAAACCTCGAGCGCTTGGCCATAATCAAATAAACCAAACCACACTTTGCTTAATACAATACTTCGTGCATTGAAGTTCTACAGTTCTTTCAATCAGTTCTGTTTTACATATATTGTGTGAAAGCAACCGTTTTGTACAAAAGAAACAATCGATAGAATTAGCTAAAACAGGATGTATTTTGACAAGAAATGTTAATTTATAGGAAAGCGGTACACACCTACAGTGAAAGTGAAAGGTAAGAAATTATTCTGCTGTATTTTGATAACGACCTTGAATGCTCTTATTTTCTTGTTTACGTATCAAAGAACTCCGTGTTTGGTTTTAAAGGAAGCAATGAAGTAAAAGGTCATAGAATTAAAAAATATTGTGTTAATCCTATTTGTAACTTAATATTTTATCATTCAGAGATTTTAAACAGAACAATGCACTTCACCTTCATACTTTGTTTTCATAGTTTCAGTTTAGTACTTACTGTATAAAATATAAAGTCATATGTTATTTTAAACCGTGATCTGGTCTTTTCTAAACGAAACTGAAAAAAAAGAAAGCGCCTACAGAGTTCTAACTGATTTTATTAGAAATATGAATTAAGCTATTATGTTCAAAGTAATCCATTTGAATTATTTACTCCATTCAGTAAACAAACGATATATTTAAAATGTACAATTAAAATTTTCTCTTTCTTTCAAAGGTGGAAGAAATCATTTCATTTAACGGACCATTCCATGGTATTTAAATTCTGATTATTTTAAAAATAATTTTTAGAACTGTTTAAAAAATAATGCCATCTCGTTTATTAGAAATCACATAATAAACGAATCATATAACAAAATCGTTGTTACTGTAAAACATAATTTAATTCTCCATAATTTTAAATAAAACAGATTACAGCTCTTTTTCATACTGTATTTATAAGTAACTTGAAAAGTCGAAATTCTGACTTCTAAGAAGAGCACAGAAAATTAAATTCCAACCTAATTTTATATTTTGAAAGCCTACAACTGAAAGAAACACTAACATTTTACGTACTATTGCGTAGATAGGAGCTCATAATGGTTTGAATACATACAGAACAGATGATTAGGGTGATAAAATTTATTTTGCCAAAAGAAACCCTTTACATTTCTGGAACTTTCCACAAAAATACTCATACAGTTCCTCAGTATCACAGAGCACAATCAGTAGCTACACTTCAAGCTATCAAGAACGTTAAACACAGCGTAATGCAAAGCGCATCTAAAAGGCGAAGCTCACACGGAGATTTCTCAATAGAAACTGATGCTCTCTTCGGTTTTACATAGTTTTCTCCCCGCCGCCGAGAAATCGCTTGTTCCTTTCATTTCTGGAAATTAATGGAAGGCATATATGGTTAAAGTTACATACAAGGAGCGGATACAATTACAGTTATATACAGGAGTCAATGACAGTTATACAATTACAGTATCAATCACGGTTATACAGGAAGTGGACCAAAATGTCACCAAATGGTCGCCAAGTTTGGAAACATTTAAACATTATGTTAAAAATATAAAGAAAATCTTTATAAAATATTAATATATGCTTAAAAGAAATGATAAAATATTGAAAATATTTAAAAGAAATGTAATGCCATTGCGTTGCCGTACATGTTAAAAGAAATGTATTGCCTTTATAAAAATGTTTACAAGTATTTAAAAGAAATGTAATGCCACCGCCCAAAATAAAATATTTTATAAAGATAAAATAAAAATATTTTGTTTCGGGTAGTGGCAAAAATTTCTTTCAAGTTTCTGAAATTGGGAGTAAATTTGAAAACTAAATATCTACTTTGCCGAGCAGCAGCATTTTTTTTTTTTTTTTTTTTTTTCTTTCTTTCTTTTATATCACTGAGTTTCCTGAGTCAATTTGAAATTCAGGACAGCCCCTTGAAAACAGAGGCGCTTGGGATACTTGTCCTTTTCTTCATGTGGAAGTGAGACCATGCGTTTGCTTTCCAAATGCTTTTAATTATTTCGTTCGACTAATCAGGTATTTTGTAATGCTTTTAATTATTTCGTTCGACTAATCAGGTATTTTGCAAATAATTAGGACGTCACAATACTATCAGAAGTTAATATTTTATACGAGCATATTTTACTCGTACTGAGGCATTTTGGCTTCAAAGTTTGCTGTTAAAGCAAGGTTCGTCTTACTATGTTTGGCACCCCTCCCAATAACCGAAAATAACAAAATAAAAAAAGAACGTATCTCAAAAGATGCAGTTTTAGTGTTCTGAATAAATTTCGATTATTGGGTGCAATACCGTCTAGATTTGGCACCCTGGGAGGTCGCCCGATTTCGTCTCGCCCTCACTCTTTTGAAGAGTTTGTTGAATTAAAATTGATATTTTTTCAGATTTTCATTGAATTCCTAAAGCAAAATTTGCTGAGCTTCGCACAGTAAAATTTTTAAATTCAGTCCGCAGAAATAAGCAGCATAGACATGCTAAACACACCGAAATTTTGTCCATGTGCAAACAAATGGAGACAAATTACCTGTTCGAAGAATTCATTTATATATATTTCACAACTAATATAAAAATATTCTGCCTAGCTTTCCTTTTTTCCTCATATTTTATGCTTTATTTTATTTTATTTTATTTTATTTTATTGCTGAGCTTTTATGTTTGATTTGCAGATACTCATTACAGCTGCATTATTATTTATAAATGAATATATTATAATCCGCACTCAGCCTTGAGTGACATGTTCTACACGCATCACGTAACACATCTGTTATCTGTAATGAAAGGCCCATGACATAAAACTACTGAAATAAAAACAGCATTAATAAAATTAAAGCTTCCGTTTAAAATTGTTAACACCAGAAGTTAACGTTGGAAGTCGTCATAATTATGTGCTGCCATCTATCGCATGCAATAAAAACTAGAAATTTAACAAAAGCTTAACATAACTGTAATTTTCGTCTATAAATGAAAATTTTTTATGAAGAAATTTACTTTTCGTTCTGCATAGAACAGGAGAAAAAAGTAAGTGCATTATATATAGACAAAAGGCATATTTTCATTGAAAGTAAAAATATTATAAGACAATTCTTATTTAGTAGAAAAATAGCCCTAGGGTAGAGAACATTGTTCTCAGAACAGAGATCATTGAAAGATTAATTAATGGACAAAGATTAAACATTTCTGAAAGATATACATTTCATATCATTTTTACTTATTATTTTATAAGCTCTATTTAGCTTTGTTATTGCTTTTGTTTATTTTTGAACTACCTGGCAAGCCGTCGACCTCAGATTTAGCATGCACACATTTTGCGGATAACAATACAATGTAGAAAAGAGACTTTTTTTTTTAAAATCTGATTAATCTTTTTACTTAGTTGCACGAAGTAAAAAGGAAGTATTGTAATCGCGAAAAGTTTCAGGCAGCATATTTCAACGAAAATATCCCATTTTGACCGCTTTCAAATGCAATTTAACGATGTATTTCCGTGATATCTGTATGTAAGGGACAGAATAAAACACTCTTTTCCTCCAAAAAAACTATAAAACTGCTTTAAAATGAATTCTGAAGAGAATTTTTCGTGGCGTCTGTACGAACGTATGCACGTATCTCGCATAACTCAAAAACGAGTAGCCTCAGAACGTTGAAATTTTGTATATAGGACTGCTATAACATGTAGATGTGCACCTCGTATTTTGGTTGCAATCGGCCGCACCAAACGTATATAAATATTTTTATATATATATCCACTCTGTTACCCGGCTCAGTGATCTCAATTTCTTTACTCTTATATGTTTGTAAATTGTACATTTTTTGCTTTAAAAATGATTGAATTAGGTTATTTTTATCTTCCGGTTAAGGGTTTTATGCCTTTAGTAAATCTGTATGCAATATTTTTAGAATTATCAACAATTTTAAAATTGTTTAAGTGCCGCTAAGCCTAATTTGATGGTGGCCATTGCTCTTGTTTACATTTGAAACAGCTGAGTAGCGGATTTGTTGCCAATCTAGAGAAACTTAGCTTTGCAACAACAAAGATAACGCCTTCATTTATTATTTAAATCATGCTTAAACCTTTCTGGAATTTTTTCGAGGAAATAAGCGTCTAAGATTTACTTCGTAATTTTTAATACAGATATTTTGAATTTTTATGTGTATTTTTGCCTTGTCGCGAAGTGAAAACTGAATTAACTAGTAGCGCATGCGCATTAGGTAAAATACTCAATCGTCTGTGAAAAAACTGGTTTCTTTTTTGTTTTGTTTGTTTAATTTCTTTTATACATAGTTCTAGATTTATTATAGTATTTGAAATAGAACATGTGGCAAAGATTAGATAATTCTTCTAAATGATATAAATTTTTGTGCATTCTGAGAGTATAAATAGGAACGAGACGTATGATACTGCTAAGTGAACCTAACGCCAAAGTGTCGCCTATGGTAAATAACATATAGTGAATTTTAAAGAATGCATTTATTCTATTGTGGTTTTATGCGCTGTCGGCGAAAGTAGATTTAATTCAATCTAATAAGTTTAAATGAAATGCAAGAAAAAATGCGTATAATTCAATATTCCGTACAAGGAAGTCATGTGGTGTACACATCAGATTTTTTTTTTTTTTTTTTATTTATTTATGTGGAAATGATTTTTGTACATATCTTTGATTAACAAACAATCTAAACATCTCAGAATTTTACTGTTTGCACTATCCGACAGTCTGTCGGATAGTGCAAACAACACTCACAGAAATTAGTATGAAATTTTTAATGTTATTTCTGCTCTTTTGAAGAATTTTCGAAAATACTGCGATTTTTTCAATAATTTTTTTCGACTACTATTCCTAAATTTCAGCATCTGAAAATGTATCATTTTCTAAATTTTGAAATTTTGCTCTTTTTCAAAACAAGAATGGTAAAAATGTTGCATGGGCAATTTTCTAATACATTATCAAAATAATAAATAAATAAATGATTAAAAATATAAATAAATAAATTAATTAATGAAAATTAAGAAAAAATGTATTTATTATCTCACTCGCTATGCTGCAAAGAGTTACTTGCAAAGAAATTAAGCTTACGGCAGAAGTCCTCTGCAATTTTATAAATGCTCTTCGATTTTGCTTTCATAATTCATTTCATGTTATTAATATAAAAAAGAACCGAATTTAAAACCGATTGATTGATGGAGTTTAACATTTTTTGCAGGGAAATCTACCGAATAACATACGAGCATTAAATCTAGGCGTAAAGAGAATGTTAAGAAACGTACCTTTTTTCGGTGAATTCTCCTTGTTATGAATTCTTTCACCTCATAAGCACAAAGTCATACCATCAAATACTAAAAAGATTAAAATGAAATGAAATGAAACTCTGATTTAATGACCATCCATGGATTACTAAAATTTATCTTTAAATCGAAGAATCGTGTTAATTGAATGTTCAACATAATATATCGTAAACGTAACTTAACATAACATAACATAAAGAAACTAATTTTTTTTTCTCTTTGAACTTAGTAGAGCTTTTAAATTTGGAAAACTCACTTATCTAAAAATTGCGGAATTTGGCTTTATATGCGTCCCTCTGGTGCCTGTGCTTATATTTAAGAAAATTTTATTCTCGTTATAAAAAAATGAAACACAAAAGGTTTGACTTCCATACCATAAAAATGTACCGAGAAATTTGACATGAAATATCTATTTATAAACAATTTCTAATGCTAATATATAAAGTGCCTTCGTGGTGTAAGGGCAGCACACTCTGCGCGTAATGGAGAGATCCAGGTTCCAGTCTCGGCGAAGGCATTGAACATTTTCACATCTGTTTCAAAATAACCTAAATGACTCTGCAGTAGCGCCCGAACTAAAAGGTGATGGATAATAATTCGTCACCACCAGAATTTAGCGACTGGATACCCTAACTCCTAGTCGTCGTAGTATATATAGTATTTTGTCCCTCTTTCCGGCACGCCTTCGTGGTGTAAGGGTAGCACACTCTTCGCGTATTCGAGAGATCCACAGGTTCACACAGAATATTAATAGCGCATTTCTAAACTTTGAAAACTTATAAATTTCTTGGGTAAAAATTCTTTCGTAATAAAAATGTAACAAAATTATGAATTAAAAGTACTAGTAAATCACTAAGGAATATTACTGAATGGCATTTTAACTGGGAATAAAATCAACATCGAATTATTGCAATTTATTTATCAACCAAACTCCTCAATGCAAATGAAAAATTACTTCAAAAACCACAAATTCTCAAGTAAGATATCTCAGCCAAATTTTTGTCGGACAGGAATCAAGCATTTTGTGCTTTATTTTTTATAAACAGTGCGAAATTTTCCGTATAAAAAATTAGATATTGTAATTTTACAAAATTTCTTTAAATTTAAAAATATCAAAACATGAATCTTTGGCCATTTAAAACATTTTTGTAACTAGAAGCATATGTCTACTCGCAACGGCTAAGAAAAGAAAGGCCGGGTAAGGACTTTTGTAGACACGACGTATATATCTCTTTCTTCTTCCTACATTTTTCTGTATCGTTTCACAGAAAAAGCATTTTATGTGAAACAAATATGAGAAAAAAAAAGCAGAACATGCAAAGAAGATTTAAAAGTAATATTTTCGCTGTTTCAGCTTTAACACGAAGCAAGTGTAAGCCGGATTAGCTTTCACTGAATTGGTATTGATGTTTACTGAGGCAGAGCAAACAGAACTGTGATATATCCTTTTAGTCTATTTACGTAAGATACACGCTTACTTACATTGTTCTGATAGATATTTTTTACATTTGTTTCCTAAATTTCTTTCAGAAATGTATGTTGTAATTTTTTAGTCCAAAGGGTCTTTGTCCTTGAAGGACTATTGCTTTCGTTTTGCGATTTTGCGTTGAATCACTATAAATGTCCGTTTCACTTTTCAAACTGTTGCCACCAAATGTTAGAGTCCTGCGTTATATTTCAAGAAATTAAATAATGAAAAATCTCCATGTATGTACGTCTATTTCTCGCATTGTGATAAAACAACGGTACATAGAGCCATCGAATTTTGAATGACGTAATCCTCCTCCGAATATGGGCATGCGGAAGACAAAATTTGAAGTTTGGAATTTGTTTTATTATCAACTTCATATTTTGTGAAACTTTAACGAATTTTTGGTTAGCAAACTCAAGGATTTCAAAACGAGCAATAGCAACAGTCTACAGGAGAGAAAAAAAAAAAAAAAAGAGCGCGTGGAATTTCTAAAGATAAGCTCATTTTAAAATTATTTTTTGCGACATTGCTATTGAACTGAATTTTATGGTTTAAGTGCAAAGAACATGATATTTAATAAAGAAGGTAACACACAAAACACAGAACGTTAAAAAACGCCGCTTTGGACATAATTTAAAATCTGCAACCTTTCAGTTTTTTTTTATTACATTTAATTTAGTACTTCTACTGAATAGAGCAATAATCATTTTTGATTAAAATTCCATAATCGGGGTGAGCGCCAGGCTTGGCGAGAGTTTTTTTATTTGGCGCGATTTTGATTGATTGTGGTTTCCGACTGTATGTTTTCTTGTGGCAAACCTAGTGCTTTATTTCGGTATTCGGTAACAAAGAGCGGAAATTTAGTGTAGCCAGGAGATTTTTTTTTTTTAATTAATTTTGAAATACTGTGTTTCTTTTTAAAAGTTTTACTGTTTAATATTATTATTATTATATATGTTTAATATTATATTTATATAAATATTTGCAGAAGGTTAAGCTGTTGTTGGTGGGAGAATGTTAGATTTCAGATGACGTGACGTTTATAATTTATAAATGTTTTCATTTAATTTTATTTAGTTAATTATTATTATTATTATTATTATTATTTTTAGTTTCCCGCCTTTCCCAGAATAAAAGAACTGAATATAAAATTTCAAAGCCATAAATGTGCCACGTAGGGAAAAAAAAAAAAAAAAAAAAACTGATGAAAGTTTACTGAGCTTATTTGCAGTTTGCTAAAAGATTTAGACATATATAAGTTTTTTTTTTTTTTTTTTTTTTTTTTTTTTTTAAAGTTCTCGTACTCACCAGGGTCCGACAGGTCGCTGAACACTTGCAGTTCGATCTATGTTGGATTTTAGGCGAAACGTTCGACTGCATGCACATTTTCCTGTTTGCGTCATATGTAATGTGGATACGAGCCAGTTTCTGTCAGAAATTCTTCCACAAACCAATCCCTACCCTTAAGCAGATAATCCTCCTAAACAAACATAAACAGCTCTGTTTTTCTTTCTTTTTTACTCGCTCTGTTGTCTGCGCTGATTTAATAATACGGTTTTTATTAGTCCATAAGGGGCTAATTATCTCGAAAAAGGATTTTGCGATGCTTCACTGTAAATGGTGTATCACGTGTTTCAAACTATTGCACCAAATATATCACCTTGTATTATTTTTAAAGAAATTAAATAATAAAGAATCTGCTTTTATTTAAGTATATATGTTCCTCGCATTGAGACGAAAACGACATGATCTAGGGCCAGCAGATTTTGAATAACGTACTCCTCCACCTAAACATATGCACCTGGAAGCCCGAATTTTGAATCTGTTTTATAGTTTGTTCCAGATTTTCTTAAACTGTAATGAATTTTTGGTCAATGGCAATACTCTTCGAAATAAAACATGTTTATCTCGTGCACGTGAGTCTGTTGCTATTCGGAAAAATGGCAGTTTTAATTAACAAACTCGGCTGTGTGAAAGCAAAGTGTTGCCGTCATATGAAATATAACACTTTTATCTTCCACGTACCAGCATGTTGCCGGCCTAAGATACCTTCAAATGTAATCTGGAATTTACTGAGTAAATTCTGCTTTTAATATTAAATGAAAATGGTGCCATTTAACGATTTCAATGACAACTGATAGCAAAAACGCAACAACGGCAATGTGAACATAAGATAGGTAACATGATTTGAAATCTGAACTGCATAGAAATAATAATATTTGTTTTTTGAAAACAATATGAATTCCTTGCTTAGCATGTATGTTTTCCACTGATAACGTTAACGCAACAACGGTGACGAATAACTAAGATGGGTAACGCGTACACAAGATGTAATATCTTACGCTTTGCTGAACTTTAAAATATTTAATTTGGGCAATGACAACACATTTCTCTTAAATCGTTCAGTTTATTTATTAAGTTTATTTCTAATGACAAATAAATATATATTGCTTTTCTCGAGTGGAAGCGCACTTTTTTTTGTATCGCCAAATTTTCTGATTAAACTTGAAATATGAATAATTTGCGCTTTGCAGAGTGGCAACACAAAACTTTTAAATCGCGGAATTTTTTTATTAATTTATTTTTATTTATTTTTTATTTCACAAGTTCGTTAAATTTTCTTAAAATATAGGTATATGAAGAGTACATATTCAGTGGGGTAGTTTTTGAGAGAAATCTTATGTAGACAGGGACCTTCTTCTTGTTTTGAAGGTCAAGTGTGCCAAGTTTCATCAATGTTGGAATAAAACTGTAGTTTTATATGATAAAAGTGTAGCTTTAGTCGTATAGATTTATTTATTTTTAATTAATTGATTTAGCTACATAAAAATCTAGGTACCGATCTCCTCTTTCATAGTTATTATCTTCTTCCGTAGTTATTATCATTCCTGATAAACGTGGGGGGGGGCGGCGACAAAGAAGAAAAGAAAAGAAAATCAATTAAAAAAATTCAAAGGAAATTATGGAGTGGTTCGGTGATCAGTCAGAGCTTGCACCAGGAAATCGATCCACATATTGTTAGCGAAGGTTGAAATATACTTATGCATTGCGGTATAGTAGCTGCTGTTTAGGTGTTGTGTTTTTGCAACAACACACAACAATAATATTCAGATAATGTTAATCAAATGCCAAATTTCCATCTCTTTGTACACAAAAACATGGAAACTACATCGCTCGTTCTGTTCAACCATTTAGTGGATATGATCCAATTATTCTCGAATAAATTTTTTAACTGAAGTAAAAGTCACTAAATAAGGAATGAAGTCGCCAGGTAAAGTCAAACTAGAATATAAAAGTTGCTAAGCGTCAGACAAATATCGCCAAGTAAGGGTTTATGTCGCCAAATAACTTATTTTCGATATAAGTGAATCATTTAAAACTAGGCAGAAAAGCACCATTAAGCTGGCTTAGGTTTTGAATAATTCTAATGATTCTGAGGATGATCAGATACAGATCCCTCTTCTTCAGAAACAAGAAAATTATAATTTGCAGCGTATTTCTCCTGATCCTTAAAAAAATATTATAAAAACATCTAAGCCAGACTAAGATGTTATAGATTGCTACAGATTATTAAGTTATTTTCAAAGTGTTATAGATTCAATTAATAGGAAAATTAAATTAGTTAAAATCCATTCATATTGGAAGTATATATCTCTTATCCCTTAATGTTATTCGGTTAATGTATAAAAATTGTCACGTTTATGCTCACGAATTCACGATTCTATTTTTTTTATATAAAAACAAAACATTTAATGAAGAGCTTATGTACATTATTTACATTATTGAAAGCACAATCATACATATATTATAAATTTTCCATCATAGGGCCAATATTCGTTTTATCAAGAACAATTACCGCTATGTGGCCAAGATCAGATCATTTTCAAGGCGTCGCCCTCAAGCTGACTAAAAGAGAGTGTAATACATTCCTTCTCTGCCGCCAGTCACGTGACCTAGTCGGCGACAGACGATAAAAAATAAAAGAAAAAATGAATCCATCGGAGGGAAAAAGAAATAATTTCAACAAATCCCCCCCGATGAACAATAGGTTCATCATAAATTTAACTAACTATTACAATATTACTATAACAATAAGAAACAAATAAAAATTACTTACATATACAGGTCACATTATATCAATAATTTCTTAACATCAAGAAAATTTTTTCTGAAACTATAGAAAAAACAAAACATTTAAATTAACATTTCTCAAGATCACCACAAATCATTAAACCAAGGAAAATAATAATGAATAAATGAAAACATTATGAAAAAGAACATTTTTTTTTTCTATCATCAGTTTATCAGTCATTCAGTCCAAATTTTTTTTTTTTTTTTTAACCAGTCACTGATTATTGCAATTACTGATATCATCAATTTCTAAATTGTACAATAGCTGCACTGGACGTTTGATTACCGAATTACCAGTTTTCACTTCACACGATCTGATCATCATTCCATCTCTACCAATAAAGGTTTTGGTTATTCTTCCTAATTTCCACCAACTTCTAGGTAAATTTTCATCATGAAACAAGTACTATATCATTTACGTTGAATGTAGATTGTTTCTTTCTGACCGGTATAATGAGCAGATCTCAAGCACAGGAGATATTCTTTTTTCCATCTGTTCCAAAAGTGATTTATTAGATTTTCTCGTGTACGGAAACGTTTTAACATTTACTTCTCTGGAACCTGGTAAATTCAAGTCATTCCTCCTTACAGCTGGCAAACTCAAGAGTCGTTTACCAATCAACAGGTGGGCTGGAGTAAGTGCGGAGGGCTCTCTTCAAGATCAGAAAAGACGTATGTTAATGGACGCGAGTTTATCATCGCTTCTATTTCAAGCAAAAGCGTTTCTAATTCACTTTGAGTCAAAGATGATTTCCCCCCAATGTTCTTTCTTAAACTAGATTTTACACTGCGAACTAAACGTTCATAAAAACCGCCCCACCAGGCAGCACGTTCCACAATGTATTTCCATGTGATTCCATGCGAAGCATAAAATTACTTCAGGGTGGTTAATCACTTTCCACATTTGCTTTAATTCAAGTTCGGCTCTTTTAAATGTTCTAGCATTGTCCGAGTACACAGTGGAACACAAACCTCTTCGGGATACGAACCTGCGGAACGCAAGTAAAAATTCTTCAGTGCTCATGCCTTTTACGAGCTCAAGGTGAATAGCTCTTGTAGTAGCGCAAGTAAACAATAAAATGTAGTATTTGTTGTCATTTTCTTTTACATACAAAGGACCTGCAAAATCGAGTCCACAAATTGCGAAAGGTGGAGATTCATTAACTCTATCCGCTGGAAGAGGTGCAAGTGATTTGTTGTCCAGGACGTACATTATATTTTTTGCATATTAAGCATTTACTCAGGATTGATTTGACGTATTGTTTTCCTCTTAAGAGCCAGAATTTTTCACGTATATGCACTAGAGTATCCGATACACCCGCATGATAAACCTTTTCATGAGCGTCTCGTACTACTAATTCACTTAATTTATGTTTTGAAGGGATTACTATTGGATGTTTGTTGTTAAATAGTAGGTTTGACTTTGTAACCGACCTCGTACCAAAAGTAGACCTTCATCTGATAATATGGGATTTAATTCGAAACAATTTTGAATCTTTTGGAATATGCTTGTTTTCTCTCTTAGAGACTCTATAACTTCAGGAAAAACTATCTTCTTGAGCTTGTGTTTAACCAAAAGATTTCAGATTTACTGATTTCTTCTGCTGAAATTTCCGCAAAATTTCTATTTTCCCTTTTTACTTTTAAATTTGATATAAATCTGAAAATCCAAGCAGTCACAACGATAAAGTTTTTTTTCAAGGAACTAAATTTTGTCAAATTCATGAGTGGAACATTTTCAAGTTTTTGTCCTGTTTTGATCAAACACGCTAGGATAGCTTTCCGATTTTCGAGATTCTTCTGATACATCATGTAATTTTGACGTCGATAGTTTGGGTTTTGGCCATTGACTTTCAGGTAACGAAAGAAATGCAGGGCCATGCCACCATTTCGAAGAATTTATCAGTTCTTTTTTGCAGAACAACCCTTTGTTATTAGATCTGCAGGGTTGAGTTTTCCTTCGCAATGTCTCCATGAACAAGGATCTGAATTTTCATGTATTTCTGAAATTTCTATTAGCAATGAAAGGTTTCCATCTTTTAGCTGTACCTTTAATCCAATGTAGAACTATTTCCGAATCTGACCATAAAATGACATTTGAAATATGTAGAATATTTTTCAGGTAGTTGGCAACCCTAGCACCCACCAATGCTCCCATCAATTCAAGGCGGGGAAGCGTTAATTTCTTTAATGGTGCAACACGTGATTTTGCCAAAACAAATGTAGTTTCAAATTTATCTTCATCAGTTCTGTATCTCAAGTATGCGACTGAGCCATACGCATTTGGATTAGCATCACTAAAAATGTGTAACTGAACAGTGTCCCTGTCTAAATTTGGTACATGAAAATAATATCTGGGAATTTTCAACATTTTAAGTTCTTTTATTTCAGAGAGCCATATTTTCCAGTCATTTTCGAGTTCTCCAGAAAGATCTCATCCCAAGGTACCCCTTGAAGCCATAGCTGTTGCAATAAACATTTAATTCGAATTACAAAGGGTGCGATAAATCCAGATGGGTCAAAATTTTAGCTGCTATTTTTAATACATTACGTTTGGTACATTCAGTGTTTATAGAGGACAGTAAGGGTGTTAATTCTAGTCCTAAGACATCTTCATCATTGTTCCATATTAAACCTAGTACTTTTAAGGATGTACATGGAGTGTCACTATTGAGAGAGATTAACTTTTCCTCAAGCCATTTCTGCTTAAGCTCTAGGGAATTGGTTTTCGAATTTTCTTAGATTTAGACCTCCTTCAGCAAGAATTTTTAACAGATTCATTTGATAGATTAAGCGCTTCTTCTTCAACAGTTGTCGCTCCAGAAAATAGGTCATCCACGTAAAGATTTGAGTTAAGCATTTCAAAAGTCTTAAAGTTAGAATTCTTGTACTTATCAATGTGATGTTTTATTGTGCAAGCAAGGATGAAAGGACTACAAGTTACACCAAAGGTTGCTCTTGTCATTTTGTAAGAAATTACACTCTCTTTTCTATCCAAGGTTTTTAAAATAAAGAAATCTCAGATTATCTCTGTCTTCTTCTGCGATTGATATTTGAAGGAATGCCTTTTCGATATCTGCCGAAAAGGCGATCCTATTTTCGCGGAATTTCAAAATAACGTCCAAAACATTTGGATTTAGATTTGGCCCTGGGTTGAAGACAGTTCATTGAGAGAAATGAGCATTCATTTGATTTTGAAGAAGCATCGTAAACGATGCGTACCTTTGTTGTTGTTTTGTCGTCTCTAATTACAGGATGGTGAGGCATATATAAGAATTAAGTGTTGAGCTGTTTTCAGGGCATACTTCTACAATTCCTAAATGTTCTTGTTCCCTGAGAATATTGTTGTATTCTTCAAATAACATTTCATTACACTTAAATTTATTTTCTAGACTAGCAAATCTTCTTTTAGCCACTTCAAGATTATTTCTCAATAAATCGCGAGATTTGCTCCATAGTAACCTTTGCCTCATAACGACCATTTTTAAATTTCAAATTATTTGAAAGTAATTTATGATTTCTAAATCACTAGAATTCTTTTCGTTATTCTCAACAATACCCATGACTTCTAAATCCCAAAATTTCTTCAGTTCATCATCATTTTCACTCTCAACTGATACACTACAACAATTTATTCTTCTATTTTTGATTCTATCTGCCCCTGAATAGTATGTCCGAAAATAGTTTCTGCAATGTATAAATGTTTTCCAATTTTTCCTACAATACCTAATTGAATTTGCCATAAAAAGTCTGACCCTAGTAAAATAGTTATTTCCCGTTCATGCTGCCCTGTATCAGCAGGATTAAATCCTCTCATTTTCAAGCGTTGAATCAAACCTTTGTCTGGAATTTTGACTGTAGCGCCAGTTATTTTTTCAACTACCAAGGCTTCAATATTTATGGAATTGCTTGATTGCGAAACATTTTGTAATTCAACAAGAGAAACTACGTCAAATGATGATTCTTTGTGGTTTACGTCAAATGATGATTCGTTCCGCCAAAAATGAATATACTAATAAATTTTCTTTTCTAATAGGCTTTAATTTCAGTTTTCGTTCTAAAACTGAATTTAAAGTTTAGAATTTTAAAATAATTTTTTTAAGCAAAGGTTTTTCTGAACCACTATCACACAAAACCCTTGCATGGATTCTGTTTTCACCACCAGAGACACATACATACAAGTTTGGAGTAATGTAGAAATAGTTTTTATTTTTCTGTTCAGAAACGCAAGATACTAAGGTTGTGGATTTATCTGCGTTAATATTTTCAGGACTTTCATGTTTTTTCTGATTTATTACAGAACAGCTCATTGTGAAATTTATTACCACATTTCGAACATGGGTTTTAATTTACTTTTTACAGTTAGAAGACAGGTGTGATTTTAAAAAAAACACTTGTAACACAGCGTCCTCCCTTCTTCAATTTAAAACGTTTCTCTTGGTCTGTATACCTTTACAACCCAAGCTTGTATGATCCGAAGAGTCACAAAATACACAAAATATTTTTATAGAAGTGTTCAAGGCAGCAGCCGAAGGAACACTTTTCTTAGAAGAAAGTTCTGATTATATTTTTGTTTGGAATTAAAATTAGTGTAAGTGTCATGTATTTTATTACTAGAAGAATTATTTACTAATATGTGGCCTCACGGGCACGTAAATCTTCTCTTATAAATTCCAATAGGTCATTGACCTTAGACTCATTTTCTGTATTCTTATAAAATTCTACAATAATGGTTTCTGGTAACAAATTTAAAAGCATGGGCAAAAGTAGATGCCCGTATGAACCTGATGTTACACCCATTGACTTGAGATTTCTAATATGCATTTCACATTTATCATACAGATTT